CTCTACTGGAGTTTAAACTTGTTATTTCATACTCTTCTGGAGTTTTTTTTATATATAATCATGAAACATATGAACTTTACTAAAAGTGATTTCTTCTAGAAACGTAATGATATTTACCACTTTCTCAAATTTGTCATTGTCAATAGTGACTCCTTTCCTTTTCAAAGATACTTAATTATCTTTAGAACCTATTGATTTATCACGCTTCAGGCATGTTATAGGTTCATCAACAATTGATGTTGTACTCTTAGGACATCAATTTTAAATTAGAGCATTTACAACTAGTATATGATAAATGTCATTTGTTTATATCCATCTTCAGGATTGTATCATTTCAAAATATTTAATTAACATGTGGCCACTTATAGTTGATATTTAAGTTATTGTATGTATTAAACTGACCATATATATTTTATTATTTATATGCAAGGATTACATACAATCTCCCCCTAATCCTTGCATATGGAGGTATGGAATGAATCAATCCAATAACCTTTAAAATCCTTGCAACTTTTAAGCCATAAATTCTTTTGGCAATGTCATGTATCAAGTAACGTGTTTCTTTTAGCAAAAACATGCTTATATAAAATTATACTTATAGAACACTTATCATGTACCTCATGCCCAATTACATTTATCTTAAAAAAAAAAAAACAAAACCTGGCCTCTTATATTTATGGGCATAATAAAACGTTGATTATGTATATTTTCTCACAATGTCATGTTTAATTACTTGAACTCATAACACACTTTTTGCTATATACAATACAAAATAATGCAGTAATACAATAAGATATAATGAATTGACAGTTGTATCCTAGCGGTTTAGCACTTTAAAGCAATATATATGTTATGTACTTGAAACAAAATTGCCCTTGGCTAATCAATAAAATATAAACAACCTTAATCATAAAACCAAGTATGATGTATAAGAAAGGTAATTGATCAAACAAATATAGAATTACTTTCATGATTGTAATGGAGTGCCTACTACATACTATACTCACTAAAGCCAAGTGACCAAGTGGGATTCAAGGTCAAACAATTGTCAGATACAATAAACAATCAACTTAATGCTTTGTTTGAAAGAAATTCACATGATAAATCTCAAATCTACTATAATTATAGAAAATAATAATTTGGCATTACTATTGAATCCGTAATTATATTGTTGGACATTTGGACGTACCTTTACTAGTGCAGAAGATATAATTTGCAAATTGATCACTTCAAAAAAAACCAGTTCCATATGTGCAAGTCATATGTAATTATGACTCTTATAAAGATATATTTGATAATACCTTTTATTTCTTGAGTATATACTACCAAAAAAATTAATATGATATAATAACTTGATATAATTAATTAATGTCTAGACTCCTCAAGATATTGTTACTTGATTTATCTTATAATCCATTACAAATACAACTGTTATTTAGTGAAACAAAAGTGTATACATATATATAATTCAAATAAATGATAATACTGATAAGGTTATTACTATTCAAGCCATAGACCGTTGCTTAACGATTATCTTATTAATATTGTTAACTGTTAAGCAGTATATCAATCTTGTATAGCTCCAAAGATAAGAATTCTAATTCCTAGCCTTTTGTTGAAACTGATTACATATCTACTGATTCCATGGCAAATTACCAAAACAAAAGTGAAGGCCTATATTCAATTAATATTATAAGCATGTAGAGAGTAATTACTGCTTGAAAACCGTATCAAAATTAAAACATATTCAACAAATGAAATTCATAAAACATTGAATTAACCAGTTTGATCAATACCCCACTCGCTTGAACAATATCAATCTCCAACAAAATATAAGACCCACTAATCCACTTAATTACTTGGACATTATTAATTTGCGTCATAATATGGTGTAGTCATAGACCTCATGGTGGTACATCCTAATTTGAATCATTGGTAGCTAATGAACCCAAATACTCATACTCTTTACATAAAGCAATTTGATAATGAATTAATATAAATAGTATATAATGTATGCGTACCTTTATTACTATTCAGACATCAAAAACCACCAAAATTCTTAAAATTTAAGGTAGTAAAATATCATGAGACATTATGTGAACCAACAATTATGTAACCACATACACCTGAACTTAGGATATGTAACGTTACAACACAAAACAAAGAGATAATGCGAGTTCAATAATGGAATATGGACACGAAACTTATAAACGGAACCTAAATACCAAAGCAAGAACATATAACGCATCAAATAGAAAGCCCGAATCTCCCCATCTAAATCTAGTTACCAATGAACACAAATTAATTAAACTATTAAACTAATAGAACAAATTCAATATATTTATTTAGGTGAATGAATCAATCGAATAATCCTAAAAATTAACAACATCATATAGCTCCTTCAATGAGATCTCTCATCATTCAATTACCAAAAATAAAAATCGAACAACTCAATTAGATACCAAAATACAGAACAAATAACCATATTCATCATTTCACGAAAAAATAAAATACGAAAAAAATTTGAAGAGATCATACCCATGAGAGAAGTATCGAGAAGACTGCGAGTAAACAAAACCTGATCAGTAGGATTAATAGTACCAGGCTCAATTTCACGTTGTTGAAAAGTGAGAATGCTTGAGATGCTGGTAACGAGCAAAACAAGAATGGTGCCGCCAAAAGTGGTGATGACAACAAGTCAGCTTTCGCAATGGAGTTCTTTAATTCGGATCTAAATTAAACAATTTGCGTAGAGCTTTGGTGCTGATAACGTGTTATAAAATAGGGAGAAATATAAGAGAGATTGATAGAGAATATATCACTGTATTTCTATTCCATGGGATATATATATATACAATATAATTAGGGTTTTCTTAAAAAAAAATATAAACCCTAGTTCCATCTAGAATATTCTGGAATGATACAAGGAGTATAATGGGCATCCACACAATATTTCATAACATATTTCGTTTTGCTTTGCATTTATTTTCTACGGAAAATAAGTGTAGCAGTAACACTCCCAAGGTTCGATGGTCGGTTTCAAAAGAAAAAGGGTTACTCTTATTATTTACAATGACCCGAATTTTGGGGGTGTTACATCCACCCCTTCTGTTTCTGTTACGAAAAATATGTCCTTATACAAACATTGAGCATAGAAAAAAAAAGCTAGGTTTTATGTGTATTAAACTATCAATTTTGACTATTTAGGCCCAATTCTCTTCACTTTATTTTTGCTAAAGTGAAACTATTTTCACTGTTCATAAGTTGTTTGGGATTATTAATAGTAAATGACCTAAAGTTAGGGTTAAAAAACCATTTTTTCCTAAGAATCATTAACAATGAAAAATAAAACTTTTGTCAAAATTTGAAAAACCAATTTTAATCCAACCCTTGCAGAACCCAAACAACACATTATCCATCTTAACCAAAAACAGTGCTATAACCTAATCATTGAAATCGCTAAGTTGATATTATTCACTAATATTTGATAATCAAAATGTCGGGAATTGATTTTGGCACACCCTTAATTGATATTGGCACACCTCCATGTGAGAAGAGCATAAAAATATGTGCTCTCACATAGAGTGTGCCAAAATCACCTTATAGTGTGCCAAAATCATTTCCCCAAAATGTCATAGCTTCTGTATTAATAAAACTCTTATGCCACAACTAATATCGATAGCAGGTCCTTATTCAACTATATTTACAGATTTAAACTTTTCTTAAACAAAATACAAAGCTAACTATATATCTTCTACTTAATCAAATACAAAAATTGTTCGTGCATGACACAAGGTTTTATCAAATTGGCATCATAATACAACAGATAATACTTCACATTATATACATCATTATATCATTTACTTTAAATAATATGATGACTATGATGAGACGTACCCAAAAAGCAAAAGGTTCTATTTTCACTGTACCCTTAATAATTCAAAAATGCAACAACCATTTATAAATGGAAAATTTGTCAAAAATAAGCCAATTTTTGACCGGTTAGCTCAAAATAGGTCAACCTTTTGATTAATTAAGAATAACTCGATTTTTATTTTTAAATGCGTCATCTATACTATATATTAAAAGGCGTTCCTAATCAAGGATACACGCCACGTATCTCCCCTTTCTTCCACCAAGAGAATAGTAGAATACTATATCACTCAATTACAAATATGAACGCTAAGTGTCATTTGAAAAAATATTTTTGTCAAGAATCAAACTCATTATATCATTTACTTTAAATAATATGATGACTATGATGAGACGTACCCAAAAAGCAAAAGGTTCTATTTTCACTGTACCCTTAATAATTCAAAAATGCAGCAATCATTTATAAATGGAAAATTTGTCAAAAATAAGCCAATTTTTGACCGGTTAGCTCAAAATAGGTCAACCTTTTGATTAATTAAGAATAACTCGATTTTTATTTTTAAATGCGTCATCTATACTATATATTAAAAGGCGTTCCTAATCAAGGATACACGCCACGTATCTCCCCTTTCTTCCACCAAGAGAATAGTAGAATACTATATCACTCAATTACAAATATGAACGCTAAGTGTCATTTGAAAAAATATTTTTGTCAAGAATCAAACTTGGGTCCATTGAGAAATGAATAAGAAGTCATACCAACTTTGATATCTAATAATTGTGTTAATTTATTCTTCTTAAATATAGTTAATGTAGACCATGAGAGTGTTTTCTTTGTACTTTTACATGAAAAATTATTTTCTTACACTAAATCTAAAATAGAAGTATTAAACATTATTATGTACATAAAAAATTAAAAGTAAAATTCATCCACATAAAATATAATACATGAAAAGTATAATACATTTAATATCTAACGTATCGACCCGGGGCATCGACCGGACTAAACACGGTGATCTGTTGAAAACCTGTTAAACAAGTTAATATGACACATATTGCAATTTTATTGGTCTAACATTAAAAAAAAAAAAAATCAAACTTTTTTACCTTAATTTTTTTTACTTATGTTTAAAATTAAAAAAATTCCGTCCTCGTTCAAAAAAAAAAAAAAAAAAATCTATGTCCAACTTCCATCGCACCATTCTTTTTCTTCCCCCTTAGCACCCTTTTCTCTCTCCTCCATAAATCTGCCATTAACAAAGGAGGCACTACTTTACCACTGCAACCCAACTCATAAACCCTCACCCAAAAGAAGGTCAGAAATGGTGACATAGGTTGTGGCAGCAGCCACAACGATGATGGACTTGCAATTGTTGGTCAGTTCACTGGTGATGGCTCGATGGAAATGGCGGTGGCGATTTTGGTTAGGGTCAACAACAGCAAATCTATGCCCGTCCCTGAGCCTCGGGAGAAGAGCTTTTTAGTACTTCAATCCTAATATTAAAAGGGTTCTGCATCACATTACCAACCAAATTTCATTTAATTATCATAATTATAGGCTCGAAAAATCACACACACTTGATTCAATTATCAGATTAAGCGAAGATCCTAAACTGATTGAACTAAGAATTAAATTAACGATAAACATTAGATTGTAAAATTGATAATCGTTGATTACAAAAGAAACAACTTACTTAAATTACCTTAGTTAGAAGTTTGTCAATGGAGAATAAATATTATCAGAAGGTGGCTCAATGGAGAACAATGCGCTTCGATGGAGAACGACAATCGGGTGATTCAGTGATCTCCATGTTTTAATGGTGGATGACTGCTACATTTCATGGTTGACAAATGGTGGTTGGATGGCTAAGTGACTTGGTGGTGGTGGATGGCAGATTGGCAGGTGGTAGTTCTTAGGGGTGGAGGAGGATTTTTCCCTAAAAAGAATAAAAGAAAAATATTTAAAAAAAAAAAAAAAAAAAAAAAAAAAAAAAAAAAAAAGGAAGTGACTTGTTGGACAGGTTGAAGGTCATTTGACCTATTTAAAGTTAATACCTTGTAAAAGTCGACTTATTCTTAGTTAATAAAAGGATTAATACCATTTTTTAATCCCAACTTTGACCAATTTATTTTTATTAATCCCAACTTTGGATTATTCCTCAATAATCCCAACTTTAAGGTGGGTTATCATTCTTCATACCTAAACCGGTCAACAAAAGTCAACAACCTTCTATTGTAGGTTGCTGGACACGTGTCGTCACGTGAGTGGTCCAATTTTATTTTTTTTTACTGGACCAAATTTTTTTTTAAAAAAAAAAAAACAGAAAAACCAGCTAGCCTTCACCACCACTGCCCAACCCAACCATACCTCGCCGGACTGCCGCGTCCCCGTTTTCCCTTGAACCACCACCCCCAAATTTCCAATGCAACCAGTCGCCACTAAACACCACCGCCTAGCTCCCCATCTCATCAATAACCACCAATTTCTGAAAACTTCCTTCCTTGCCCCCAAAATCCCTCTCCATCCCTTCCTCCGCCCCGTAAAACGCCCCCTTCCCTCCCCCTTCTTCGTTTTGGCTGCTCCGATTTTGAAGTAAATTGGTTTAAGGGTTTAGGTTTCAATTTGAAAGTAAATCGATTTAGCAAACCACCGCGACGCGCAGTGGGTTGAGGGTTCAAATTTCAGCGGATTTCCCCTCCCTCGCGCCGAATGAGAAGCTGTTGTTGGTTGTGCTGCTGTTGCGTGGCGTTGGGTAGTGTGGAGCTGCTTTTTTTGCGCAAATTGTGGTTGCGAGGTGGGAGTGTAAGGAGGTGGATGTGCGTATGGGGAATGGCTGAATGGGAGAGGGAATGCGGCTGTTTACCGGCGTGGGGGAGAGAGGGGTGAGGTAGTGGGGGCGGTCGACCGACCGACGTTAGTGGTTGGGTGGCCGGATCTTTTGGTTGGGGTTGAGGTTTGGTTGGGTTGAGAAACGTGAGGGGCTGGGTGGATTCTTTTTTTTTTTTATTATTATTATTAATTAATTTATTTTTATTTTGGTGAACCAATTAACATGCAACACGTGTCAAATAAATATTTTAAATTTTTTTAACCCTTTCTTCAAGTAACCGGTAATCCGGACCAAAGAAAGAAAATGCAACTTAAAGTTGAGATTATTGAGAAATAATCCAAAGTTGGGATTAATAAAAATAAATTGGTGAAAGTTGGAATTAAAAAACAGTATTAATCCTTAATAAAAAGGCTGATCTATTTTGAGCTAACCGAGCAAAAGTTGGCTTATTTTTGACAAATTTTCCTTTATAAATTCATAGTAATGCAATTACATTACATGAGCCCATTTTGATTTATTCCACTACAATCTAAAGCAAAATAATAACAAAGAACAAATTCTCAAAAAATTTCAAATTTTCAAACAAAAAATTAATCAAAAATTTTCAAACAAAAAACTAATCAAAAAACATTAAAACTAAATCCAATTATACATATTGTTTCGGGGTTTTCTGTGTCCCTTGGGAGAGTTACAACTTCGAGACTAGAACCACGCGCCTGTACCTGCAAAAGAACGGAGACTCCTGGGTTGGGAGCTCCGCCTCTGACGATCAAGTTAGTGAATAAAGGAGTTGTAATGCGGAATGTAAATAGGTGTCGGATGCTAGGACAGGTCTAGTAGGCGGTACCGAGTGGTGTGTGATTGTCTTGGGATTTGTGAAATCCGTGTGTTTTTGGTGAACAGTCTCTGTCATTAATGAGCATTTATGACAGTATTTATAACATTGGGAAGCATGCCAGGTTCTAGGGTTTTTGGCCAACCCTAGGACTAACTGGGCTTTCTTGGGATTTGGGCCCAATCTGCTACCTGTTTAGGCAAGGATTAAGGGCCACATGGCATAGCATAGGAAGTCCATGGTGGACCAGCTGAAGTGTGCCACATGGCAGGCCCTGATAAGTCCAACTGAGTGACACTTGTCAGGACCTGATTGGTCCACAAGGCGAGGTGTGATTGGTGGGAAAATCCCCCTAATCACATATTCCACCAACACTGGCAAGAAAATTATTCTTAATCCCACATGAAATCTCAAATTACTTCATAATACTTGAATAATTACTCCGATCTTCTTCTGGTTATCAACAAAAAATAATTACCCGGAATTGATCATGATAATCATGCAACAAAAATATTGAACCATGGGGTTTAGCAAGAAAATTACCCGGCACCAAAGATCGAACAAGAATTTTGTCCATTTTCCAAGAATTTGACAAAATTATTTGAAATAGAGAGAAAGGGATCAAAGAACAAAGGTGAACAAGGAACGGGCAGTAACCAACCAAAAAAGGAACCAAGGGCAATTTGGTAAATATAAACCTTCTCACTTTTATACAAATTATTATTAACTCATTAAGAGTTAAGATCAAATACGGTCCCTAAACTAACGTATTTGTAGCATTTTAGTCCCTCAACTATTAATTGAGGCAATTCTCTATTATATGTGTCATAGCATTTTCATTTATAAAATGGTTGATTGACTTGATTCATATTATGTAATTACTATTTTCATATTATTTTATAGGTACACATGCATATCGTCAATGCCTCAATGGGAGTATGCATTAAGGTCGCCAATTCATGGTTGTATCGCAATTATTAGTGATGCCAATTCATGAATGTATAGCTATTATTAGTAATATATGCATTACATATTGTATGAATTTTATAATTGAAAGGTGGATTGTTTTTTTTTTTTTTTTTTTTTTTTTTTTTTTTTGTTTACTTCATGGTCGCGTGACCAATATTACTTCTAAATGTTAAGGAGTACTAATTATCCCACTTGCTTTGAAACTCTTTTCAGTGGCGAATGTAAAATATTTAGTGTGGAGGGGCACTAAATAAAAATAAAAAATAAAATGCTTATATGAGGATTTAAACCTAAGACTTTTAGCCCAAACTCAATGCATTACTACTATAACAAAGCTAATTTAATGTTATTTATTGCATTAAAATTGTATTTAACCAATAAATTTACACCTTTACCTAAATAAAAAAATAAACAAAATTAATTTTTGGCGGGGCCAGTGCCACCCAGGCCCCTTAATAGATTCGCCACTGACTCTTTTCACGATAAAAAAAATAAAAAATAAAATAAAATAAAAAATTGATGTTTAACTTTGTATTTAAATTGCATTACATCTTGCTATTTCAGAAATTCAAAATTAATTTAACCCGTGTGTTGCACGAGCTAAAAACTAGTTATAATATCTTAACATATTATAGTTTCCTAAAACCATATATAACATAATATATCTTAACGCATAATAGTTTCCTATATTATATGAAATATCATATTACTGGATCTTTGGTGCCGGGTATTATAATATGGCATAATATCTTAACACAATATCTTACTGTATATGTGTTAAGATATTATAATATATTTTTGTTTTGAAACCGAAGATATTATTTATCTTATTCTAATTTCTAGATCAAAAGTTATGACTAAAAACAAAAATCGCAAAACTGTTGTCCCTCGCTACGCGTTTTCAAAAATCTATTTTCTTTCAAAAATCTATCTTCACCCGGTTTTAAGCCTATAAATACCACCATTATTTCTGATTTTTTAGGGAGAATTTGACAACCATACAAATATTTTATCAATCCCAAATCATTCCAAAAAACTTAGACTTAAACACGTACAATTTCCATTGTTCTTAGCTTTATTTCTAATCTTATTCAAGTAATTTAAAGTCCAAATAAAACAAGTAATATTATTGTTCCGGTTCTACCTTTTTTTACCAAGGCGTGAAGGTATAATTCCGAGGGTGATATTAATTTCTCTAACTATTTAATTTAATTCTTGTGAATTATTATTTTTGTTGATGTTACTAACAATATATTCATGATGTAGTATTCAAAGTGCATATTTGTAGTGAGTATTTAATTCTTTGTTTTATTTACTCTAATTATTTTTATTGTTTTGATTACTAGCATCATGTTTAGGATCGTATTTTTAATTATTTAGTAACATGCTAGGATTGTTTTTAATGTGTTTAATATCATGCTTAGGATCTCACTACTAACAATATTTTCATGATGATGATTATTATGATAATTATCTGTTGCTTGATTATCAATGATATATTGCTATTGTTTGATCACGCCCCCTTTTTGCAGGTTTAAAGGGAATTTGTAATTGAAATAACGCGTAATAAGATATTTAATAATTGGATTTAGGTTCAATATAATTTTAATTCAAGTGATCACCAACATAGGATTTAATTGTGCATTACTAATTAACTAACATAGATTAAACATGTTTAGAATTAATTTAATGTATGTATGTTGATCGAAAAGCACGCATAAATATTAATAAGAATCAATTAGAGGCCTATTTTAGGGCAAGTTTGATCTCTTTTGAAAGTTAAATTCGTACCATCATCCCTGAATATTCAGTCATGGTTTCAGACCACTATGGAGTTAGCAATCTTTGTGATTGTGAATGAGGTGTAACCTTCATAATCGTGGACAGATTACAAGTTTCTAAAACTTGTTGGCGACTCTCTTTCTCTAGCTTCTTTCCTAGAATCGTCGGCATACCTAAAAAACATGACACATAGTAGGGCGAGGGAAAATTCCCTACAAATATAAAAAGATTTAAATGATTTTTTTTAAACTTTTCTAATCAATGAACAGGAATAATAGTCCAAAAAAGGACCAGTTGAACTAGATACTTTTAGAATGGTGATTTATTATCTACTAAATGAGGTTTTGACCCAAGCTTTGTATGGAGAAGCATTTGGGAATACTAATTGACTTGAAGGTAGAGGTGATCAATGGACGGGCCGGGGCGAGGTAAAAAAAGTTAGCCCATTCCTCGGGCCAAGCCGGGCTAAACTTTGGGCCGGAATATTTGTGTCTAAACCCGCCCAAACTAGCCAGGTCGTGCGGGCTTTTCAAACCAATTTCGGGCTAGGCAAAAAAATTAAACTAAAATTGCATAAAATTGATTTTCCAAGCCCGCCTATTTTTTTAAAAAATTGGGCCGGATCAAACCCAACCCGATATCGGTCCAAAAAAACAGCTTAAAATCTACCCAAAATCGGGCTGGGCTTAACTTGATCAGGTCTACTTAAAGGTACGTATGAAATGGAGAGTGAGAGATGGAGATACTATTAGTGTATTGAAAGATGCTTAGTTATCTGGGGATATTGCAAATAATAGTACTCAGTTGTGTGTTCGCGTCATCATTGCACTACGTTGGACAACATAATGATCACCTATGATGAGTTGCTTCACATCGCTTTGCCCTTCCTTAGTCATTTAATCGAGTATATTGTCAATTATGCCATGATATTAGAATCCACCTCTCTTCTTATGTATTTTTCTTTCTTTTACTTATATTTTGCTTATGCATTGCTTTTTAGGCTTTTCTTAAAGTTTTCTTGGCTTTAAGTAGAATTATTGTGTTACTGTCAATCTAGAGTATGTTCACTAGATTTCCATTGTAAATTCTATTTAAAGCTCTTTAGGAAGTGATACGGGTCATTTACCACACCAAATTAATTAATTAAATACCTAACTTAAACCTCCAAAAATATTAACATAGTAAAAAGGATAAGGGTCGATCCCACGAGGAGATTAATTAACTCTATAAATTCAAGGTCAACTCGAAAAATACACATAAGAATAATATTTAC